CATCAAAATATTCTTTAAAAAAATGGAAAATATACAAAAAGTAGACTGAAAGACAGGAATCCATTATATTTTCAATGTTATTATATTATCCAAAGACACCCAAAAGTGGGATTTTTGAGTGTTTTCTTTCATCTTTTTAATTTTGCAATTTCATAGCAAAGTTAGTAATTCTCAAATCTTCAGCAGACAGAATAGGTCATTTTCACACCCAACCCATGCTCTTTAAAATTTGCCTTTATGTTAAAACTGAGTCTGTTCTGAGACTCTTTTGTGCTGGTGTGTATATATTTCTCAACATGTATATGCACATAAATTTTATGTAACATCCGATAGTCATAATAATAACAATAGCAAGCATTATAGGCCATAGTGTTGGGCCATGTTTTGGGCACATTACATATTTTAGCTCATTTAACCTTCATAGAAACACTATTCTTATCCCCATTTTGCAGGTAAGGAAACTGAGGCAACCTTTAGGGGTTGAGAAATACTCTGAAGGTCAAACAGCTATTAAGTATGGGAGCCAGGATTTTGCTGTCCTGCCTCTCCTTAGAGACCTCATCATCTCAAGGAAAGTAGTTTTAAAATTCACGAAGTGGGCTTCTTTTTATATTTCTGTTAGGAAGGAAAATAATTTGTTAGTTAATTCACAAAGACCCTATGGGACTATTAAACTTATAGATACCAAATGAGCCTGAGTCCCTGTTGCAATGTAGACGGCTAAAAATTTAGGCATATTATTTCTGATGCATACTAATGAATCTATTAAAAGAAATGAATCTAACTAATTAGAGTTTACAATAGAAATATAAACATGTTCTAGTAAATGAGCTTACTGGCCCACAGAGAGACATCTCTCTCTCTTTCCGTCTCTTTCCCTCTCTGTCTCTCTGTCCCTCAGTCACACACACACACACTCTATACTTAGATTTTAAAAGTATGCATATGATAATCTATTGGGGTTTTTGTTAAGTATCTTTATAAAAAAGAAATAAACCTGTTTTTCCAGGATGTATTAACTAATACCTCAATATAAAATAAAGAACTGCCTCAGCTTTCAAATTACAAACATACCTAAGAAATTGAGTGTTGTTGGGATCACACTAACAAGCACTTTGTCGTTTACCAGTGAGTTATTTGAATGCACTGCCCCTCAGTGCTGTCCAGGGTACTCAATAGGTGTGTTAACCTGAAACAGCAACCTCCACCCCTACCTAAGTCACACAGTCCCCCTCAAAGACATGGTGCAGCAACCCTGTATGTGTCTGGTCATACTTTCTTTACAGTTGACGAATGTCAACTTAGCTCTGTGGTCTTCATTTCTTCATGGCAACGTGAAGACCCTCCCTTACTCACAACCACAGAGCCGCAAATGTCAAAATGGTAGCTCTCGGGCCAGCAGATGGTATCGTGGTGAAGGCGCTAGACTCCCACAAGGCTGACTAATGTTGGAGTCTCAGACCCGATGGCTTGAATATCACATCAGGCATGTGTATACATGTGCCAAAATCCCAAAAGGGAAATGGGAAGGGATTGTGCTGTGACCATCCCACCTAAGGGGTGATTTCTCACTTTCTTCTCTGTCTCTCTCCCACCAGTGCACATTCCCTATGGGGAGAAAAAAAAAAGGTACTCTTGTATTTTGTCATTGTCACCCACAACCTTGCTTCAGGGAACAGCCTGCAATTTGGTTTGCGCATATTTTCTCATTAATTAGTAAAGAGAATTAGTAAAAGTAAGAATATAAGTCTTTACTATGGCAGGCCACACCCTGAGAGAATATCTTAATCTACTTCTGAGGGGAACAATCAGTGTACTGACAGCGTAAGTTAAAAAGATGGGAATCACCGGGGGACCAGCAGTTGGCTTAATGGCTATGTCACCAGACTCCTATGTAGCTGGCCGCAGTTCAAGTCCCAGACTCAGTGGCCATCCTCCTTGGGGGATGATTTCTTGCTTTCTGTCTCTCTCTGTCTTTCTGGTAAGTACATGCACCCTATAGCAAAAAATTATCCAAAAAAAAAAATTAGACCAGACTTATTTAAACAATTTAGCCCTCAAAACTATTGAAGTTATTACATAACATCTGAAATTTGAAAAATGATTTTTCTCATTCTTGGATTAGCAAATTGTTTATATATTTTAATACTTGTATGCAGCTTTTACCTCCTTTCTTGATTTTTGCCAGGATAAATCTCTTTTACAGCTAACTTTTATATGGTTATCTAGCAAAGAAAATGAATAAAAAAAAAAATTCAGATTTTTAGAGTCCCACAAAGTATTTTCTCATATTTTTTTAAATACCTCGGAAGACAAAATAACTGTTTGAATTTTTCACCATACTCAATGTATATATTTCAATAATTTTGCAAAACAACCTAAGTACCATTTTTTAAAGCACCAAAGAAAAAAACAAAAAAGAGTCACAGAGCTTCAATTACCCAGCTAGCTACAGAATATCGGCATTGATTATTGCCTTCAGTTGTCTGAAAATCACAGCAAAGTAATAAATAACTGTGACTCTCTTGTTTTTATGACCTGGCATACAGAACAGCATGCAAGCCATGGGCATATGTGTAAACCAGAAAGACGATAAATAAGTAAATATTATTGAATGGTATGTCAGATGCTTTCTTGTTACCAAGGCATTTCAGTATTAACCACTGAATTGCTTCTGAGACCAAAACTGATTAGGTAGTTAGGGCATCAGTGGTGTCATGGTAGAATACTAATGAAAAGAGGGACACTTGAGACTAGCCAGCTGCAACTACCTCTTTGGAAACTCAAATTTCTCTCTTCACTATTGCTTGCCCCTTTGGACATAACTGACGTTGTAAACATCCCACAAGGCACACAAAAGAATAATCAGAGTCAAGGTCCAAGAGACCACTGACTTCCTGACTCACAAAAAACTAACCTACAGCAGCGACTCAATGATTAATCTAGGCAACAAGGGCTACAGCAAATATAGTAATTAAGATTTTCTCCAAGTCTCACTACATTCCAAAAAAAAAATTTTTTTTAAACAAAGTGAGTCTCATGACCCTCTCTAAAATTAGGAGGAAAAAAAAAAAAAAACAGACCCACCTAACATGCAACCCCCACCAACATTATGATTTATATCAGCCAAGAATTTTGACCTGTCCAAGAGAGAAAAGAGTGGAGTCCAGATATCAAGCTATGGCACCAGCAAATTAGATCTGAAGTCAACTTGGGGAAAAGTGGATGATAATTTCCCTTTACTTCAATTACTGAGATAAATGCCAATATATGTAGTTTTTCCCATTCTGTGGAAATGTACAAATGTCAGGCAATGACTATTACTAGCAGGCCAGAACACTTTTTACTGTGATGGCATATGTCCCATGACCTTGGTTAGTCTCAAAGATATTTCAAGGTTAATTCTGTTAAAAAATCACCCACGCGGTGTTTACAGGTGCAAATTCATGCACAGACATGCCAAACGTGTCCACACTTTATGGACTGCTAATTCTGTGATTCCTAAGAACCATTTAAAAACCAGGGTGCTCAAAGCACTGTGAATATATTTACTGAAGAAATATTGCTCACACAGAGGAGCATAAGTTGGTTGGAATTACGGCTTCCTCTGCCCAGGACCTGAAGACCACTCAGTCTTGCTTTTGATTGCCAACCCTCAAGGGTGCTAGCTCTCATCATACTCACGGAGTCTTCTTTTAGGAGCAACACATTCATCAGCTGCAGCTTATTCTACAAAAGGGAAGTCTACACTGAAGAGAAATGAGGCTAAACTTGATTGCAAGCTCCCCAGAGTAAGGAGCTGTGTCTCTGGATGGGGCAGAGTGAGCATCCTATGCAGATTCCCACCCTCATAGTTTTCCAGCCTCCACAGTGCCACGCCTACAGAATATGCTCCGTAACTGTTTTGTGAGTGTGGAATGAATGGATGTTTTCAAGCTCTTCTTTTGGCATCAGAGAACCAGATTTGAATTCTCATTGTCCATGTCAATAAGCACAGGACCAGTTCCCACGAAATGCCCCAAACTGTGCCATTGTCCAGCAGGCAGGTCCAGCTGGATTTTCACTCTTTTAGCTCCCATTTGCTAGATCCTACTATACTAGCATCCTATTGTAGATTACACAGTATCCTACTCAGATTCCCCAGGCTCCTTGAAGTTCAGAAATGCTGTAAGTCAGCTAAATTATTTTGGCAGTTTTTCAATGAGTGATTTTGTTAAGAACAAAATGTCAGACAAACCAAAATTTAAGAGTTTACTTAAACAAAGGGTGGGCCAGTCAAATCAGTTAATCTTCCAGAAGATGGCTTCTGAGAGACTCTGGCTAGTGACATGGTCACGGGGTATATAAGTTTATGGAAAGGAAAAATGACATGCTCAGGCAAGGCAAAGTGAGGTACAAAAACAAAAGTGAGGGAGTAAAGTACAGAAATCGTTGGATAGGCTACAACCAGATGGCGGGCTGCACGAACAGCTTAAAAGGCAGGCTTTCTGGGACCAGCAGTTAGTGTAATGGCTATGTCGCTGGACTCCCATGCAGTTGATCGTGGTTCGCGTCCTGGACCCGGTGGCTTACAACTCACACCGAGCGCGTGTGCATGCATGCCCAAGATCCGAAGAGAAGAACAGAGGAGAAGGGATTGAGGTGTGGCCATCCCCCCTGGGGGGTGATTTCTCGCTTTCTGTCTCTCTGTCTCTCTCTGTCTGTCTGGCGAGTGCACATGCCCTATAGCAAAAACCTCTCCAATAAAAAAGTAGGCTTTAGCTGTAATTTAGCAACCAGCTCAAGAAAACAGTCTACATGTACCATTTTGGCTTACCCATAGGAATCCAAGTGTGGGAGTACCGTGGCTGTTTTAGGCCAAAATAGTTTAGTTTAATGACAGCATTGATTCCTCTGAAATTATCTGGGTTTTTTTGTTTGTTTAAAAAAATTCTTGTTTCTTTTCTTTCTCTATTATTAAGATCTGAAAGTTTGAGCTCTTGTGTTCTTTCCCTAAAAAATTTTTGTGATGGAGTATCTCAATGGAGGAGATTTAATGTACCATATCCAGAGCTGCCACAAGTTTGATCTTCCCAGAGCAACGTAAGGATCTGGGGTTTTCCCATCGTTCTTGTCAGTATGCAGTACTCACTTCCCACAGAACGCTTCTCCCAAGGGTTTTTCCTGTTTCCTCACTCAGCGCGCCTAAATCCCAGGGTAGGGTAAAGCATGAAACAAGGCAACCGTTTTCCCAGGTTGTGAAACTAAAATTCCTGTCAGTTTCCTTTTCATTCTCTATGTTTAAAAATCAAACAGTTGCTTCCTTAAGGAATGGCCTTAATTCATCAGGCTTCTAAATGATCTGAGCATAAAAAGCAAATATTTGCCTTTTGAATAGAAACCAGTCAAATGGAACACAAATCTTCAAGGTGGCCCCAGGGATGAAGCTTTTAGCTGAAGCCATTCATGGGAAGCTGAATGAGGAGGCATGAAGTATTTGACTCCTGGGGCATGAGAGTTAGGAAACTGGAAGAGGCACTTAACTCTGTTTGATAATTAATCTTTGCCTTCTTCGGCATCACATAGTCACAGATGCAAGTGAGCTGGAGCTGGCTTGGTTTACCTGGTGGGACAGCTGCTCAGCTCACAGACCCTGCTGCTCCTCCTGCCTGCCCTGTGTGCATGGGCTCCACCCTCTGCATGGCAAAACTGCTATGAGAGTCACACGAAAGAAAACTGTGCTGCTGGCGCACATAAAAATGACGAGTATGTGCTAGCTCTCGCTGCTTGATAGCCAGCCTCTACACGAACACTTTGAGTGGTTTAGGTTGCACTGGATGGAAAAAAATGAACTTGATTTACTAACCCCTGCAAAAAAAAAAAAAAAAAAAAAAACCAACCTTGGCTATGAGGGTTGTTCTGTCAAATCCGGTAGGTAACAGTCCTCTGATCTCATTGCCTCCAGGAGCTCCCCGCGAAGTACTCAGAGATCATTTTATTGGATTTCTAGAGCAGAGAAATGATCAGGTATTTTCTGAGCTAGCAAGGATTCCCTAAGTTCACCATTCTCTCCAGCTCCGTAGTGCATTAAAGCCAGCCTAGATAGGTAATATATATTGTGTCCTAAATGACTTCCGGGAAGGAGTTTTTGCATTCATATCCGTGAGATTGACAAATCTCACTTTTAGGAAGCTCTTCCATATGTCTGACCTTAATCTCACAAATGATGGTGTCAATTTATTGCCTTTGAGCCTGTCACCATTGAAGATGAAAACTAACCTATCAACTTCCATCTTCTCCTATCCTTTTTCCCACTTTTCAGGCTGTTATTTCTTTTCCAGGCTAAATGTTGTCAATATGAAAATAAACTAGCCAGCTCTCTTTGAAATAGATCCAGCAGAGTTTAAAACTTAAGGGGAAAATTATTTCCTATTATGTCATGCTATTACTTTTATCATTTCTACATGTGTTACAAGCCAAAATACAGTGCACGCATTGTAATTTAAAATATGTAAACAAGCACTAGACACAGGCAAACTTCCTTGAGATTGCAGCTCCATTTCGTACTGTCAGAGCTGAGGCTGAATGTTTTCTGATGTGTAGAATGGACAACATCTTCCTTGCTGGAACTGAACAAAATTATGTGTATACACCATTTAGCCCAGACTGCATCCACACATACCAGACTAGGTTTGGGGATTTTATTTTGGTCCATTAATGTATTCATGATGAACCTTGGCTCTATTTCCCTCAGGTTTTATGCTGCTGCACCCTCAGGTTTTATGCTGCTGAAATCATTCTTGGTCTACAGTTCCTTCATTCCAAAGGAATTGTCTACAGGTAAGTTTTGTTCATTGGAAACAAATATTAAGATATTGATTGCCTGGCCCAGTTAGTGTGATCATTGCACTTTGGTGCTGGGAAATGACCAGTGTGCTTTTGTGGTGCAAAGCTCCATAGCCAGGCCTCCTGCTCATGGTGATTACATGGATGATGATTTAATAACAACCAAGAGAGAAGTTCTTGCTTCTCAAAAGCGAGAAGTTTCTGATCTTTTTATCATTGCCAGAGGGTAGTGTACTCAAGAGAGAGAGAGAGAACCTCCCAGTAGGAAGTGGTCATGCTGCAATTCTTTTTCCTCCTTTTTTTCCATACCATCAGGATTTGGGACATGCACGTTCACATACACACACACACACGAATACCATGTTTTTCAAGCCTCTAGGACTGAGATTCAAACCCCAGTCAGGCATGTGGGATCCAGCTCCCTATGCACAGTGCTGAACCAGTGCACTACAAATCAGCCAAAGAACAAGTCTAATCTTACTTTGGACTTTATTTTGGTTCTTACTTTTATTCTCCCTTTCCCTTCTCATTTCTCATTTCCTTCTATTACCTTGCTTTCTCTTTGGTATCTTATTGCTTTTGCTCTCTTTTTCCCCCCATCTTATCTCTTGGTTTTGTTAGTTTTGCTGTGAGTACCTAGAAATGCCTGTAAAATGTTTTCCTTACCAGTAAGGTAGGGGAGCTCGTTCTTGAACTCTCACACAAACCCATGAAACCTATGATTCCGTACCTTACAGGCATGCACAGGACACAGGACACACCGTGTGTCCTCTTCCATTAATCCAAAATTTCTCTATTTACGACATCATCTCACATCATTCCGTCAAAGACTTGACACGAAATCTCTCGTATTTCTATTTTATTACTTCTTTTTTCAAAATATAGTTGACACTTATTTAACATACAAATATTCAAAAGCTTAGTGGTCAGATTTCCAACTTGCTACAAACTTCAGAGGAAAGAAAAGAAAAAAGAAAAGAAGAGGAAAGGAGAGGAGGAGAAGGGAGGGGAAGGGAGGGAAGGGGAGAGGAGAAGAGAGGAGAAGAGAGGAGAGGAGAGGAGAAAAGAAAAGGAAAAAGAAAAAGAGAGAAGAACTAACAAGAGGCTGGCTGAGCTTCTGGAGACCAGCTTGGGGACCTCTGCTGTGGCAGATTCATAATAATGACCCAGGGTCATTAATAAAGGCTCAGTGATGTCCCACACCAATTGCTGAAGACAACAACATGTGCATAAAGAAGGTTAATATGGACGCTTTGATGCTTGCAGAAAACACAACCATTATCTGGAAAATTCACATAGGGAAGAAAGACCTTTACATTCCCACAGGGTGCAGCCAGGTAGGAGTTGCCTGGTTGAGAGTCACAGACCTCACAACTTAGATTTAGGAAAGCAGTCTTCTTAGACAAGCTCCTTGTTTATTTCTTTTTTGGTCTATCTACAAAACGGTAGATTAGGGGAACCAGCAGTTAGCGTAATGGCTATGTCGCTGGATTCCCACGTAGTCGACCGCGGTTCGCGTCCCAGACCCGGTGGCATAGAACTCACACTGGGCGCATGTGCGTGCGTGCCCAAGATCCCAAGAGGAGAATGGAGGAGAAGGGATTGCGGCGTGACCATCCCCCCTGGGGGGTGATTTCTTGCTTTCTGTCTCTCTGTCTCTCTCTGTCTGTCTGGCAAGCGCATGTGCCCTATAGCAAAAATACCTCTCAAAAAAATAAATAAATAAAAATAAATAAAAGAACGGTAGATTAAAAATTTGTCTTACATAATCTTTTAATCTTCAGGAGGTTGAGAAATACTTACTAAAGCATTATGTGAAAATCCCAACCAGGGTCCATGTGGTTTATTTTGAATTTCTCTTTAAATATGTAATGCCCACATTCTATCGAAAATATCCCTATACCTAGAAAATGACTAATCTATATAGAATTGATGGATGAATGGGGGAAAAAAATCAGGAAGGTTACAGACAGATATTTTAGAGCTGAAAAAGTTCTCATGAAACCAAAATTCACATGGGCCAGTGCAGGCTATTTCTCCACATCAAGATACTCTTTCTATCATATCATCTTGTAAGTTATTGACATTTGGAATAAAATGACCAAGAAAGATCTATAAGTAGCTTTAGCATCACAAAAAAATTATACCCACTTTAGAGCTCTTGCTCTGTTCATGCATGGAAGTCAGGTTCTCCATGGCTTCTTGTGCACCAGTAAGAAAGAATACTGGGTCTATTTAGTATGCTCATGAAGTCATAAGTGATTGTTGAAAGGCATCATCAAATCATTTAAATTAAGGATAGATCATCAAACATATATATTGATATCGAGATTATCCTGCCTTAAGAAATTATTCAATGGCCTATGTGGAATTCAACTGATCTAAACTTTAAATTTGGCAACTGAATTAACAAGGAGATTTTATTAATTTTCTTCTTTTGACATCTAAGGATTATAATTTTCTGTATTTTCTCACCAAACCAGTGTATTTATTTCAAGACACTTCCATAAGAAATTACCAAAAATTTCGTGACTTATAAAAATAAGAAGAAAACACAGAAATTTATTCTATTACAATTCTGCAGGACAGAAATCTGAGATCAAGGTGTAGGCAGGTCCATACTCCTTCCAGAGGTTCGGGGGGAGGATCCTTTTGTGCGTTGTCCAGCCTTTGGTGCCTGCAGAAGTTCCTGGCTTATACCTGCACCCCTCCAATCTCTGCCTTCATCATCACATAACCTGTGTGTCTCTTCTCTGTGTGTCTCTTACGAGAACATTTGATCAATTTGTGACTTACCTACATAAAACCAGGATGATCTCATCTGTGATCCTTAACTTAATTCATTACATTTGCAAAGTCCCTGCTTCCAACTAAAGTCATGTTCACAGGTTTCTAGGAGTTAAGGTATAAACATATTTGGGGGGCGGCCACCACTGAACCCACCACAACTGGTATTATAGATGGTGTTCTGCAGCCCTATGTTAAACATTTGGCAAGCAAACGAATGCTTACAGAGACAAATCAGGGACCAAGGACGCTAATGTTCTTTTCTGGGTCTCAGTGTCCTGTGTGGTTTATGTGAGGAGTAAGTAGCTTGACGTGCTTCAGAACATTCTGGACCTGAGGTGTAGTGGCCTTTTCAGTTGACTCCAGAGAATGTCACTGGTCTTCCTCTGCCCTCATTCTATGCCCTGTGGAGGTTTGGCTTTGCATGGCAGGATTTCTGCACCCGTCCCATTCAAATCTTAGATCTCTCAAAACTTCAGTGACCTTCTCCCTCACAATCCCAAATACATCTGGCCTGCTTTAGAAAGGAGATTGAAAATTTGACACGAAGTCTATTATTCCTAACCTGAAGCCCAGAGAACATATTTTTAAAAAATAGTTAAAATGTACCCTTGTATGTATGTCTTAGCAAGACCAGTTTGATGAGAAAGACCAAGTGTGTTTGGTATAAAGAGATACAAAAGAAAATAAAGACTGGGTTTGCATCCTAACCCATGACTGGAACTATGGGTTGCAACAAATCACATCACCCCCAAGAGCCTTTATTTTCTATCAGAAAATATATATATAAATAAAAGTAATAATAATTTTAGGTTAAAATGCTGATGTGAGAATCAGATGACAAAATGCTTGTTCAAGAAAGAAAAAAAAAAAACCCTGTGCTAAGAGTAGATATTATGTTCTTTATTCTTAAGATCTATGCATGTACCCCAGCTCCCTAGGGATGATTCCAAAACTGTCCTTCAGCCGAATTCCTAGAAACATATGTACGTGACTTGATGATGCAAATATGTTCTAGCAGAAACCCTAAATTATATCATACGGCATAGCATGTGGATTAGATAATGAACCTGAAATTTTAGCGTAAGGAGCTAAATATAACCTATAATTGGACCTATGAGAATAGAATTCATAAGTTACCATGAAATTGTGTATTTAATTTCCATGAAAGATCAGGAGACAAAAGACTAGCATTTTTAATATGAAGACTTAGACATATTGGACAATTTTGTATTTCTAACAATAAAAGTGTGACAACATTTGAGTTAAGATAAAAAAGAAACAGAACTGACATATATGTGAGATATACCCCAGGCTGTCTCATAGACAGAAGTTATCAATAATACAGTGGTAATGAGATTACCAAACTGGCCCAGATGGAAAACATCAACTCAAAGACCTCTGCTAGTAGTCTCAATTCCACCAATACAATTATATTCCACTCGCAATTTCTCTAGTTCACTTACTGGGTTTTTTTGTTTGTTTGTTTGTTTTTGCTATAGGATGTGTGTGCTCGCCAGGTTGGGGGGAGAGGGGCACAGGTGTGAGGGGATGTGAGAAATCATACCCCAATGGGCATGTCCCAGTGGGGACAGCCACACTGCAATTCCTTCTCCATTCTGCCCTCAGGATTTTTTTGGAGGTACGCATGCACATACGTCTGGTATGATTTTCAAGTCACTAAGTCTGGGACCTGAGCCACGCAGTCAGCCATGTGGGATCCAGCCACCTTAACCTCCACGCTGTCCCCTGGCCCCTAGCTTACTTACTCTTAAGAAGGTGGCCAGCCTGTGGCAATGTGGTGAACGTGGCTGGATCCCACATGGCTGATTGTGCAGTTTGAGACCTTGACCTAGAAGCCTGAGAAACACGTTGGTGCATGTACATGTATGCCCAAAAAATTGAAAGGAGGGAGAAATGCAGTGTGACCATTCCCCATGGAAGGTGTTTTTTTACTCTCTCCCTACCCCTTCTGTCTCCTTCCAGCCAAGTACACATGCCCTCTGGCAAAAATTAAATTTAAAAAGAGGTGGAAGAAAAACAAAAAAAGCAGTTATTCAGCAATTAATTAGAACTGATAATAACTGGTTGGTGATGAATTCATTCAACAAATATTTATTGCATGTTCCATACACGTTATACTGTTGACAGAGAAGTCATAATTCAATAAATAACAAGCAATATTTCTACTCCTGTGAGGTTCCCAGTTTAACAATGGAGAAAGACGAAACAAATAGTAATGGGGACTTTAGAAGAATATGAATATTTATGACAAGCAACATAAAACCACTGAATCTTTCACTTAAGTGAAATCTAGGCCTCACTAACAAGGCAAATCCATCAAAAACCAAGATAGCTTCTCTCTCATTGCCTCTACGTATCTTTGGGTTTACATGACTAACATCTCTCCTCTTGGCCTAGCCACTTTATTGGTGACCTAACCACTTCTTTTACAAACTAGTGTTCTATTTTTCCAAGGGCATGCATGTGCCACTTACAGCCCTGGTTATCTCCTCAGTTCAGGCACCTAACCAAGACAGATTAGTGCCCCCACATGGCAACTCTGACACCCCCAAAGAGAAAAACTGAATGATCCAACCCACCTCTGCTCCAGTCAACTGAGCTAGGGAAGACAGTGTTATTTGTCAGGCTCATTGGGAACAGAATCTTTGAGAAAGAGCCTGAGCAAGTTCTCTAAGAGGAGGTGTAGTAAAGGATAAGAACAATGGTTATTTCTACTCTCTCCCAAGTCATCTTAACTAATTAAGGAAGGCAGTGGCAGCCATCACCAGCCCACATCCTGACTTGAAGAAAGTAGATTTCAGAAAGTTCAGAAATTCATGGACAGATAACACAAAGAGAAAGAAAGCTGAATATTATATGGAAAACTAGAATTCATCAAGTCTCATCAACTAAAATCGATAAAACAAAAATGTTTAAAAATTGATGTCAAATGAGGCACCAGAATTATCTTTTAAAAAATCAATTTTGTAAGTACAGGATGAAACTGGAATGGTGTCTGTTCTTGTAGGCGAAAAAATACTTGAAGGCTTTAGTTTACAATGAACTAAAATATTGACCATTATTATGGTGAAGTTACTAAAACAACTAATGTATTATCTTAGGCCAAAGCAAGAGGATGGTAGCAGAAGCTCATAGTGTCACCATAATCTGCACAAATCAGATTATCTATCTGGAAGGTATTGGTTCCATTCCTAGCACCACTTGTCAAGACAAAAACGGATGAAACTGAGATATTTGGAGGGTAGGGTCCAAAATGTTGAAGGATTTGAAAACCGCAACACATGAGGAACATACTCGATGTTTAATGTTTCTCCCTGAACTTGGTGAAGGAATGGCAAGAGAAAACTTGATGTCACTTTTCAAATATTAGAGTACATTATACTCTACTATTTCCATTAGCGTATCATGTGTGATCTAATAGAAAACATCCTTTGGTCAATAGGTAAATTCACTTAATTCATGTATTTAAAAAGAAATATCAGTTACCTTTAAGAATAGAATGAGCTATTTTAAGAGGATACTAGTTCTCTAAAGAAAAGGAAATTTATTGACACGATCTTATGGTATCTGATGGATTCTGGTCCTAGAGTGTTTTCTTAAAATAACCTTCCTTGGGAACCAGCAGTTAGCATAAAGGCTATGTCACTGGATTCCCACGTAGTCGACCATGGTTCACATCCCGGACCCGGTGGCTTAAAACTCACGCCGGGCACGTGTGCATGCGTGCCCAAGATCCTGAGAGGAGAATGGAGAAGGGATTGCAGCATGACTATCCCCCCTGGGGGGTGATTTCTCGCTTTCTGTCTCTATGTCTCTCTCTGTCTGTCTGGCGAGCACACGCGCCCTATAGCGAAAACCTCTCCAAAAAAAAAAGAAAGAAAATAACCTTCCTGAACTGGGTTTGGAATTAGGTGCAGTATAATTTATTCACAAAATTTAAAATAGAAGACATAAATACATAGAAAATGGCACCAAATAAGCATATTTTTAAGCCTCTCTTCCTTCACCATTATCCCCAAGAAAAATACTAAAGGTTGAGACCAGTGCTCTTGTCCCTCTTATATTGACCTGTTCTCCTTGGTAAATTAAAAGGAGGAATCAGCAGCAGCCAGCCCTCCCATGAAAGAACTAGCTTGGGCCACAGCCCCCTGTGTATACAAATGAATGCATGCACAGGCTGTGTAGGACTAGACACCACCCTACACCAACATCACCAGCATTTCTAGCTGTCTCTTCTCATGCAGGCATTGTTTCTGGAAATCCTCTCTTAAATACACAGCACATTCATGCACTCTCTCAATGCCTGCTGAAAGAGTTCATGCAAGGAATACGAACTGAGCTCAAACTATGTGCTAGGTGCCGAGTGAGGTGCAAAAGATAACAAAAGTTAGAGAGTAAGACCTTATGCCAGCTGACCTGGGGCAACAGGAGCTATGGGAAGATCCTGATCATGAGCTGTGGGTCAAGCAGCAAAGACCAAGGAGCCTAAAGCAGTGGGCACCCTGCACAAAGCTGTAGATTACAGGGTGGGGCAGTGAGGGGTAAGGAAAGGTCATCAAAGGACCCCTGGCAACTCCCTCTCAGGTCCTGCTGGGGTGAGCTACCACGTGACCTAAGGCAATTTAATTTTAACCAAATTGAGTTTACTCAAGTGAGATCATGCTTTGCTCTTGTTTTCCAGGGACCTGAAGCTAGATAACATCCTGTTAGACAAAGATGGACATATCAAAATTGCGGACTTTGGCATGTGCAAGGAGAACATGTTAGGAGATGCAAAGACAAACACTTTCTGCGGGACCCCAGACTACATCGCCCCTGAGGTAGGGACAGGGACTGGAAGACCCTGCACCAGCCCTTCCTGATCCTCATACCCTGAGCCAAGTGCCACTCCTTCCTCCCCTTCAAATCAGAAGGCTCTAAGCATTTCAGCTCAGGATAACGCTTAATTTACACTTAAGTATTTCATAAATGCAGCTGCACATATGAGCTGCTATTATCATTTTATGGGGATGCTACTTATACTAATTACAACCTCTCCAAGACTTGCATAGCTGATTCTTTGTCAGCCATGTCTCCAACCCACCCTAGCCTTTAAGATAATCTCAGATCCACCAGGTGGAGCACCTGATGAAGACCTGGATGGAAACAAGTATCCACCTACATTTAATGGCTTATTTGTGGGCTCAGAAAACCTGAACTGGGCCACCGTGTGAGTACAGAGAGATGGTCAAGGCTCACTGACTCTTATTCCCTCTTCTGTAAAATGGATATGTAATACTTATGTTGCAATGTTATTGTCAAGCATGAAATGAGAGCACATATGAAAGTTAAATGTCATCCCCATCCTGCCACGTAATAATAATAATAATAATAAGACATCATTATGTTCTAAGCATTCAGAGAAACAGCATTTGCTTAGAAGGCATTTATCACTCCAATTAAACCCACCTCTTCCCTTTCCAGAATCCTTCCCAGGGAGAGTAGACTCCCTTTACCACTTGGTCCTTCCTGTAGCGTGGTCCTCATCCTAGTTACTTGTCTTTGACTCCCCTTGCATGACTGGATATTTGCTCTAAAGTCAGGACTGTTTCTTACTCACTTTTTAAAAATGTTTATTTCAAAATACTTACAGATTTACAAGAAGTTGCATAGTACAGAAATATCTCCCATATATTCCCTTCACCCAGTTTCATCTCGGATGTTTATGGTAAAATAGCTAAGCCAGGAAATTGACATGGGTACAAGGTACACAGGGTTCTATGCCATTTTCTCATGGGTAGATTTGTGTGCTCAAACTCACTTTTATAACCAAGTTCTAATGTAGGTGTGGCACATTAAAGTGCTAATAAATACCTTTTGGAAGAACAAATGAATGATTGGATTAATAAATATATGAATGGGTGATGTTTGTTTAATGAAGACATTGATGACCTCTGATTTTCTGGGTAAAATGACTTTAGCAAATCCCCATTGTTGCCCAAGTAATTGTGGCAGAACCATATGGCCTTGCCCTATGACTACATGGTATTTAATTTTAATTTCCCCTTGTTTGAAGGCAGGATTGGTCTCTGTTCCACAAGAAATTAGGGCTTCTAACTTTCAAGGAATTGTGGAGCTCACAGAGCTTGCCTCATTGGTTTAATAACTCTGATATTAGAAATCTGTGCTTCTGTCAGGTGGGCACAAATACAGATATTGATTCAGTAAACCATAACCAGTCCCAAGTGAAGCCAAAACTAATTGAATCCCAGGTGAAGGAGAACTGAGAGAAGAGGCTCATTCAACACTTGAATTCCCCTTAGTAATAATTCTAACATATTGGATCGTCAAAAAAGTCATGACACCTTTTTGCATGGATAAAGACGTCATGACTTTTCTGACAACTTAATATATCTACTCCTCTGTCCTTCTCAGCAAAGGTCTCCTTTTTCGTTCTTTCAACCTCATGTGAGCTTCCTCAATTTCTTTCCTCTCCACTTTATAACATTTCAGTATGCTTATCTTGCTCTTACTCATTCCTGTTATCAATGCTTTATGTAGTATTCTTCCTTTCCTTGACAAATCCTTTTTTTTTTTTTTTTCCTAATCCTATTTCCTTCTGCATCTTCCAGAATTTGGCTTTGGTGACTTTCTTCTCTTTTTGCACCTTTGCTCTCTCTGGTCTTCAAGCATGCTTGTCTCCATGTAATTCCATGCTTGGTGGTTGTACATTCTCCATGAGCTACTTGACTCATGACTAAGGTTTCTATCTCCAGAATCCATATGGCCAACCCAGATTGCTTCTTGCTCCAGACTCTCCTTGTTCATTTTCCTGCTTGAGGACTCCAGTGAAATGTCACAGACCTTTCAAACATACCAGGTCCAAAAATAAATTTCTCTGTTGAATTTGTCTCCACTTTTCTCTTTCTCCTTTCTTCAGGAATTACATGTCATCTACCCAGTAGTTTAGATAGAAATCTAGGAATTATTCAAGTTTTCTACTTCTTCCTTCTTTCCTTCATGTTTGGTCCAACCAAATACCAGGAGCTTCTAAAACTGGACCTTTAATGTCTGTTCACTCCCAACCATATGATTGGGCTAAGAATCTCCCTTGATTCTTTCTTTATCCTGGAAATAAATCTCTCTGACTCAGTTCCCAGAGAAGTTCCAGTTCCTCCACATCCTCACTACTACCTCTAGCCTAGATCCCAATGATACTCTCTTGCCTAGCTGGCCTTACTTCCCCCCCATCACCAGTGCATCCTCTTTTCATATTTTCACACTTTTTATCATGCTCTGTCATCAGTTAAGAAAGTTCCCCCAAGAAATGTACATTTATTTAGTTATGAATCATATACCAGGTGTTTTCAAAAAGCTTATGGGAAAAAGTGCATTAGGAATAAACTATGCATGAATTTCAAAATTTTTTGCACCACAATAAACTCAGACTTCAATTTTATTTTTTCGCAAACTTTGAAATCCCCTCATATACTGTTGCCAACTCATATAGTCTATGTGTTATAAAACATGCCTACAGAACTACAAATATTAATTTTCCTCACACATTTCACTGGATGACCTGGGTAACCCCTGGGTACGTGCCCCATGTCTGAGGTCACTGCTCTGGCAAATTACCGGATTTACCTTTGGAATGTACAAACTTGTCCGACTAGTGCTTTAAAATCTGTATGCAGGCCCCTTTATCAGTTGAGTATAAGACAAAATCCTGAGTATAGTCCTTAATAATGTGGCAAGTCAAATGAAAGGACTCACCTCCCTAGACCAGGCCATGCCATGCTGGGCCCTCTGCTGTTGCATACCCTAATTCTGCAGTTTGCTATCTTCCCCACCCCTGTAGACATCTCTCCCTAAAGGCACCTCTGGCTTCTAGGAGTTCTTGGCTACCATAGACATGTGCTTCCAATTCACCAACAAACTGAGTTGTTCCCCACAAGGGATCCTGGCTTATCTTCCCCAAGCCCGTCTCCTTCCATCAGCTCCAAGCAGACACAGAGTGGTTTCCTGAATAAATGACCATACCAAGGCATGCTCCCCAAATGCCTGTCTCTATACACATACTGCAGTCCCACTTGTAGGCCTCTTCCATACCATAACCCTGTCCAAACTCCCTTTTCCCCACCCACCAAAACCCTACCCATTGTTCAAGGTTCTACTCCCATGCCATCTACTCTGTGAAGTTTTTCCTTTCTCTCACTCATTTACCCATGACCCTTTCCCTCCTCAGAAACAAGATGAATCTGGAGGGGTGCTCTCCTTCCTCTGCATCTTAGTAATCCCTGGACCTTCATTTATTTTGGTTTTAAGTATATGCTGCTGCCTTGTGCTCTCTTCATGAGTGTTCAGTTATTTCCTCTGCTAATGTATCCCCTTCTTCAGGGAAGGGACTCTATAGCTAATGGAAAGCCAACTGGGGAAGAAAAAGAATTAAACACACACACACACACACACACACACACACACAAGACATTAAACAACTGGGACAAAAGCCATGGAGCCCATCTGGAAGACACTGGTTGCTTTTGAATGAAGAATTCAAACTCCGTAACAGAAATTAATGTATTTGGGAAGTGTCAGGAATGATGCATGCATTGTGCTCCCCTGAGAAATGGTCTCACCAGTTCCTGTCTCCCAAGACCCAGAGCTTCTTTCTAAAGCTCCACAGATCCCTCTGTCTTCCCATAATGAGAGACAGAGAGCTGATGTATCATTCGAGGTCAAAGCTCATTTTGAGAAAAAATACGGAAACATTCTTTTTTTTTTTTTTAATTGCCAGAGGGTGCACGCACTTGCCAGAGAGTAAGGGAAGAGAGAGGAAGAAAGCACCCCCAAATGGGGCATGGTCATGCACAATCCCTTCTCCTCCATCTCTCCATCTTGCCCTGTCAAGATCTGGGGCACACATATGCACCTAGAGTATTTTTCAAGCCTCTGGAACTGGGATTTAAACCTCAGTTGACCATGTAGGATCCAGTTCCCTTAATCACTAGGCCAGCTCAGAAATATCCACTTTGAGAACCAGTAGATGGCATAATGGTTTACTTCTCTGGACTCCCATGTAGTTGACTGCAGTTCGAGTCTCGGACCCAGCAACTTATCACTCATGCCAAGCACATGTGCGTGCATGCCCAAAATTCCAAGAGGAGAGTAGAAGAGAAGGGATTGCAGTGTGGCCACCCCTTGCCCCGGGGGGTGGGGGTAGCACAAGTGATTTCTTGCTCTCTGTTTCTCTGTCCCTCTGGTGAGTGTGCATACCCTATACCAAAAATCTCTCTCAAAAAAAAAAGAGAGAAGAAAAAGAAAAATCTACTTTGAATGTACACCATTCACTCTGTAAATCTTTATGGGATCTCAACACATAGAAGCAGCTCCCTGGAAAAAGTACGATTCACTTGCAAACTAAAATGATATAGCCCTGAGGAAGGAAGGTCACTTAGTATGGACAGCATTCCCCTGCAGCATATACATCCACACGGAAGGCCTGTACAGACCTAAGCCCCCAGCTCCGTGAGGCTGAAGGAATTGTGGACAGCACTCACTGTAAGGGAGAAAAAGAGACTATGAAGACGTGGCAAAGCCATGATTAACAGTTTGCTGGTTTCTCTGATGTAGATTTGTGCATCTGATTTTGGGGGGTAAAGATGAAAGAAACCAACACAACAGGGCAAAAGAAAAAGAGGCGCTAACAAGGCAGGGAGCCAGTGCTAAGGAAAAAAAGGTCACTCTAGCCCATGTTTGTCCACCATCTCTTCTAGACGATACAATGAGGTAAGCATGACCAAGTTCAGTTGAAATTTGAAACCAGGGGACAATATTAGAATACGAAAGGAACATCATGTTGTAAAAACCCTAAGGACCAGAATTCAGAACACAGCTTTCAACTCACTAATCCGGAGACCTTAACCAAGGAAGTTAATCTCCCTAAATGGGATCATCCTCCTCAGTAAAACAGGAATAAATGTACCTAATTCAGGGAGTTCTTAGGCATAAAAAATCATAATGTATGAAGACATCTAAGATATATCAGTGTTTCTTGAGTGGACACTTCTGTGTGTGGACTCGCATTTTCCTTCTTCCTCCCAAAGTAGGACTGAAACTCTTCCTAACACCATCTAGCCTACAAGGCTTAATTTCCACCACAACCGTCTCCTGTTTGATTTGTGCTGCCGAAATGAAGCAAGTTGTTTACAAAGAGACTGGACTCAGAGCGTTTTCTAACTGCTTTGGGCCCCCTCTTGTGGCATGCCTCAGGAATTGCGAATGAACCCGGCCCCACTTAATCCAAGTTTGAAAGAACTAAGAGTGCAGGTGTTAAATCGTGTGCATCTTGACTTTCTCATCATTCTCTGAGTCTGCTTTTAGATTATTCCTTAAGGCAAAGTTTATTTTTTTTCTTAAATTTTAAAGTGAACTTTGGTATTTAAACATCGAGTTAAGGCTAATGGAAATCAATAGCAGATTATAAGCTTCTATTGCAACTGGATCTTTATTTTCACAATGGAGACAAATGCGTCAAATCAGAGGTTTATCATAGCACTTAGAGTAATTCCCATATGGAAAATCACCTTGGCTTTCTTACTTTACATTGGGTCATCACAACAACCCTATAGTAAACTGGCCAAATATGGTTACCACTTTTTACAAATGAGATTCAGAAGGGTTAAAAAATCTTTTCGAACTACCTAATAAGGAAGTAAGTCAGAAGTAGAACCAGTGACTATCAAAACTGTTTCTGTTGTTGGCTGTGGTTGTTTGTTTAGCAGGGCTGTGTTGGAGAAACGTCCCAATATCCCTGAGCTTCACTCTGGGTGATCGCACATCCCAGCAGTCAGACCACAAGTGATGTAGAGGATCTACATGTCCCCGTGCACATTGTTCTTCTCTTTCAGAAAAGTTTGCCAACATCAAAACAGTGCAGCATTCCTTGGGAAAATAATGGAATGTCTAATTCTTGTGTCATTTTCCTTTCTTAAGACCAACAGTGCTACAATTCTGCCAGTTATTCTAAAGGCTCACCTAAGAGGAAAGGGGAAAACTCCATTTCAAATGATTGTTGCCAAAAATGAAATGACTGTGTGATTCTGTGTGGGTTGACGTGTATGTGCTCACACAGGTGAGCCTTGCCAGGCTCAGAACAAATTGCGGTGTAGAAAGGATGGCCACCTCAGGAAGGTCCCAGTCTTTCTTTTTATATTTAAATGGTGCTTCAATACCATATACTCTCCCTTCTCTGTCTTAATTTGGGTAATATAAGGGGTCTCTAAAAAAGTTTGTGGAAAATGTGTCTTATGTAAAAACTATGCATAGGTATCAGAAATGTTTTGCACCAACATAAACATGCATTTTCATCCAATTTGTCCACAGACTTTTTTTAAAAAACCAGGCCACTTTGATGTTTTTGTACAATTTAATAAATAATCTTCTAATGACTGCAGACATGTAAGACCAGCTATATTCAGAAGTATCAGTCATTATGGTTTTCCAGATTGGTGTATCATCTTCAGAAATTACAAGGAGTTACTTGTATGCACCTGCTATCAAACCAGTAAGAGCATTTATGCATCCATCATTTTCAGGACTGTTGATAACTTGGGCGTATTTCCCCAAAATAACCTTGCCTCCTTATGTCACAAGGCCCAACTCGCTCACGTTCTCTCAATGACAGTACCTTTGGTGATAAGACCTAAAGTTGTGTATATAGTGGGGATGAGGGATTCTTCTTTACATGGAGTATTGGCAGGCAAAAGGTGGCTGTCAGTTCAGGATGTGTTACTAAACTGAAAGGGGCCTTCTTGAAATGTAAGCCCATTGACTTAATGAATCTTTCATATTTAGGTGGTTTTCTAGTAAAGCCATCTCCAACAAAGCAGACTTTTACAACCATCCTCTTCCATGCCTTCTTTCTCCTTCCTCTTCGAATAACTTTTT